TTCATGGATAGATTCTTCAACTAGCGACGAGGTGCTGTTGTGTTTTAGAGCAGTTCTAACTTGATAACTGAGCTTTTATTCTCACATAAATTATTATTCATTAACATTATATATATTCAAACATACCTGGAGTGGAGGGGGGTGTTTAAAAACCATGATGAATGCAGCTTTAGGCGAGAAATTCAGCTACTGTTTATGCAGTATGGATGTGCATCGGTCTCTTGCGTCCTCCACAAAGAGGTGAAAGGTCAAGTCCAGAACAGAAGCCCTGCAGCCGTTTAAGACTCACTGTTATGGTCAAGGATGCCACAGCAGGAGGGAAGCGTTTGTGGCACAGCAGCTTGAAGCTCAGCTCTCTGATGACTTTGCCACCTTGAGGCCAGGAGCATGTGCTCCAGTTCCAGTCGCTGAGTTTAGGAGATACACTATATACGGCTCACAATGAATGTCCCGTATTGTTAGTTTAGTGCTTCATTCTGCGTTTGAAATGACATGTTGAGAGGACACTTGGTGCAGTTTATTAGGTGTTGCACACAGCTGTGCAGCAACCCCGAATCATAATAAGACCTGAGAGGCAGGTAGGCACGACGTAAACCTGCTGCAGCGACTGATTTTATAGCGCAGTAAAGGTGTCCATTCGGTGTCGGTCTCTGCTATCAAGAGGTGTTGTTATCACAGGTGAAAGCTAACTCCCTGCCCCTGAGCTCTCCCTCTCTAATGGCTTTACCAGCACAGTGGAAGCAGAAGGCGAAGAACTTGGAGAGAAACGTACAGGAGGGCGGCGATAAGAGGATGTAAGGAAAGGATGTATAAAAGAGGAGGTCAGCAAAGACAAGAGACGAGAGAAAACAGATGAAGAGAAGCAGGGAGATGAGAAAAGGGTTTCCCTGAACTATGAAATCACGCAGCACTCGTCCCAGGCTTTCACCTGACAAAGACAGAGTGCCGTTCTCCCAGTAAAAGAGCCAGAGCACAAAACTGTCCGACCTCCTGCTTATCAAAATCATATGTTCCTTGGCACACAGTGGAGGCTTTTTCCTTTTCCTCCGACTGCCAAAATACATCCTTCATTCCTTTATTTCTTCCTATATGGTCCTGCTTTCCTTCCAGTCCTCCATCTCTTCTGATGTTCTCTTAAAGACGCTCAGTGAATGCAAACATGAGACTAATGTGTTTGCATAAAAAGGCACGTATTTGTTGAAAATTTTAATCATTATGTGTCTGGCAGTTCTCAGCAGCAGCTCCCAATGTAATCACAAAGTGTCACCCAAATAAAAACCAAAGAAACAAACAAAGAGCAGATGTTTTGCACTTAAACTTTGACGATTTATTTCGTTTTGGCGTCACCGGGCACGGCTTTGTGTTTTTGTCATCACCATCC